ACCTCTGGCACGTGTGCCATAGGTTCACCATCACGGATATAGACACATCTTAAAATATGTTTTCCATATGTATTTTACTCACAACAAACAATTCCACTTTTTCTTTTCATTGGTTAATTACAGGACAAATTCAGAAATGTGCAAATTTCAATTGATAACGAAGTTTCAGCTGTGAGCTTCCCATGATGATGCCTCTTATTGTGGGCGTAGGCCAGTATGTCATATGAGGAGGACTTCACTGTATGATTTAAGATGCTAATACTGTAAAGAAAAGTGTTTAACAAGTCAGATTATCCACAAACTGCTGCAACCTGAATAGAAAATACTTTTGATTTGATAGAGGAAAACACAGTTTTTCCCCTGAGACCACTTGCTGCACATCTGGCTCCAAATAGGGATAATAACTACCCAAGTATGTATAGTAAATGTATTTTCCACACAGACATTGGCTGCTAGAACTATGTTATAATGAGCAATAACTACACTCATATCTCTGGATGATTTAGTGCAGTTCCTCCTAATAATGACTGATAAGGGCATAGATATTGGAGATTAGCACAGAACTAACAGATGTTCTGAAAAATCAAACTACCTGCTCGTCAGTTATCTGTAAAATACTTTTATTAGCAATAAGTAGTTGAGGTCAAACCAGAAGTAAGACTGAGGAAAGGCAGAAAATTTTGCTGAAGCATCACTTTGATTTTGGAATATGGTGAAATATCTCTTTTGGTAAGGAAATAGTTGTTCCAATGATCTGTTTTATTTGATCATACATAATAAAGAGCAATATAAAAAGTGTCTATTCTGAATCAACAAGTGCAATTATTTTTTAAAATGGTAATGTATGGAATATCACTCCTTTCCTGTAACTTCATGTATTACCTCAGTTGCTGGTTAAGAAAAAGAAAAAAAAATTGTCTACACAATTTAAATGACAATACTTGCTATTATAATTTTCTTTTGCCCTTGAAATTGCACTCTATAATTTTTGAAAGTTAGCTAGATCATAGATGAATACATACTTATAACTGAAAAGTTAGCATGGAATGCCTTTTCATTTTGTCCCATTCCAATCCATAAATAATAAAGGAGGGTATTGTCTGTTTAGTTGTTTTAAGAGGATATGAAATTGTAGTTATTGAAATGACAAACATTGGCAAGGTTCCTAACTAGCAATTTAGATCACACATTATATGTATATCTGCTTTTCTTCTACAAATTCAGGGACTTCAGGTAAGAAATAATGAACTCAAGATAACTCTACCAAAAGAGACTACCCACAAGTGCTCTAGATAGTTGCTCCTCATACGACATCACAAGACAGCAGTCCCTGGTAGATTACGACCTCTGGGAGATGAGGGAGTAGCTATTTTGCTCAAACCATGGTTGGCGCCTTTAAAAAGCACTGGGTTCTCCTATTCTTTTCTAATTCTAATTCTATTTCTAATTATTTGTGGAAATTGCTTGCTGATGGTTTTTCATTTATTAGAAATCTCTAGATTGACAACCCTAACCTTTAGAAAAGAGGTTTCAAATAAAAGTTTAAGGATTTAAAAGTGTTGCTGTTGTTTTTTAGTAAATAGCAAAGGAGTGATTCAACCTTTGGTTTTAGAAAGTTACCAACTGACTAGGGGCACAGATACATTTAAAATAGGATTTTTGAATTAATTATAAGAATCATTCCTGTGGGAAAATACTTTTGTTTGAATTCTTTTTTTTTTTTTAATGATAGTGGGACTTTGAAGATTAGACCCTAGAGGAAGTTAGGAGGAACTAAAGATTATAATTAAAGGAGAAGAACACTTAAATTTGACTTACAAATATAAAATAAAGCAAAATATTTTAGTATTTGACATATAAAGATTATTTTTGAAGAATGGATCCAAAAGTTAATTTTAAGAATGTCTGCTTCTAAAGACAGACTTTATGAGAGGAATGAGTTTTACCTGACAACATTAAGACTGATTTGAAAGGGGGTTTAAAAATAAAAGCAAGAATGATACAGAAGAAGATGTTACACTGGAAATACAAAAGAAACTGGCCTGAAAGAAATGAAAAGAAATCAAATTCTAGGAGGTTATTTGAATGGACCAAAAATCAAGATTGTTAAAAGTAAATGGAAAGATTTTAAAGTTGGTTTATTTGATCAAGATTAAAGTAGATACGCTGTTAACCCATAATAGATTTTGCTGATATTAGAACTAAAATGATGAGGCTTTAAAAAGTAGGATATTATAAGAAGAGATATTTATTACATTTTAAAAGGAGATAAGTTACTAAAATTGTTTATATTTGTTGTAATGAAGGGAAAGTCATTTCTTTCTTTATATCTATTTTCTTTACTACATTCTTATTTTTTCTATTTTTTATCTATCTCTATGTTTCTTTCCTTTTATTAGTTTGCATTAGTTTTTATTGTTGCAATTTAAATTTTTAATTAAAATTACTGTTAAAATAGTAATAAATTCAGGCTGGTAGATCCTCTTATTTTATTTCTACAACATATTCATGTAAAGTGAGTTGTGCTGAGAGAATGATCCCAATCTAAATCCAATATAATTGCTAGCCCTCATTGGTTCTCAGAAGACAGTTGTATTGGAGAATGAATTATTTGGGAAATCAAAATGATAACCACTAGGGCAGAATATATCTATAAGTAGCTATATCTATAAATTATGAATGGAACAAGAAAATCAATGAGAATGATGAAAAACACTGAAAGGCAGTGGTGGGATTCAGCCAGTTCGCACCTATTCGGTAGAACCGGTTGTTAACTTTCTAAGCATTTTAGAGGTTGGAAGAAATCTTATTTTGTTTTTTCCCACTTTACAAGGCTAATCTGTAAGGAAGGCAGGAAGTAAACATTCTGGTGTTGTTTCTAGCCTAATCTTTATTGCCCTGCTTACAGAAACTGCCTCTCTGGTTAACGCTTATTATATTGTAACAGCTAAGGCAAAGCGCTCATCAACGTGAGTGACATTGAGTTCGTCATGCCCACACAGTCACATGACCGCCGAGCCACGCCTACCCAGGTGGTCATTAGGGCAGAGAACTGGTTGTTAAATTATTGAATCCCACCACTGCGGAAAGGTATGTCCCTAAAATAATTTTGAGAAAATCTTAGGGCCTTTTTTTAAAAAAAAGAATGACATGAAGTGGAAGGGGAAGATTTCCAAATCTTGAGTCTAAGAGACAAATAAGAAATATAATGAGTTGGAATACACTTTGCTTTGGGTAAGTTTGAAAACAGACTTTAAAACAACCATCGGGGTGGGTTGTATATTTTGTTATTCCATCAGCACCCAGCAAAACAAGCCAATTCTTTATAATCTGTCATAAATGGGACTTTATAAAATGTGGCCTAGTAATTTACAACTTCCCAACATTCTTACAATCCAGCTGAGTTAGAGGAGGGGTCTGCTTTGATGCTCATGAAAATGCATCATTTTCATTGCTTTCAGAATAGTTTAGAAACTTTTACAACAAGACCCTACAAATGAAATCTCTTGTTAGCCAAATTAACTATCAAGGTTGGCTGCGGACACCTCTTAGAAGGTGACAGCTTCTGGTTGTTGTTAGTCTATAGCAAATTGAGACACTGTAGTGTTTTTATCAGGTACTCGAATAAAGTCTCTTTTTTAAAGCAAAGAAAAAAATGCTGGAGCCCCACCGTCTCATTTTTAACAAGGACCAGCTGAGAAATGAATGCAAGCTGCACACAAACCATCTTATGTCTGCCAATTCATTTCCTGGCCCTGAAAATTGAAGTAGGGGGGGAACCTCTCCAGTTTCCTCTTAACAGGCCAAACATGGCAAAGCACCAAGGGAATTCTGAATGGAATCAATTGCACTTGTTACTGAGTTTTCTTTATTCTTCTATTACCAAGGCCTGGCTATTCAGCTGCAAACTATTACAATGAAGAGTTACTGACTAATGGTTTCCAGATTGCTCTATGAGGGGGCATTAATTGGAAGGGACAACTTAAGAGTTTAGGCCGTGTAAATGCATTTCTTATTCTGTCAGACTGAGAAATTTCAGCATGCAAGAGGCTGAAATACTCAGAACAGATAAAGACTTCATAGTAGCAATTTAAATAAACATTTGGTAACAGGGGTTATGTTGATGGGATCAAGAATAATTAAAGTATCAGGTTGAGTTGCTGTTTTTTAATGACATAAAAATTTATAACAGTAATCTGAGGTTGGCTCTCCAGGAAGTGTGAAACTCAATTTACACTAGATCAAAACTTGATTTAGCATTTATCAGCCTGACTCAGGTCCTGCTGATCTATAGGTAAATCTGCCTCTCATTGCAGCTAACAGGAAATGATCCCAGGCCAGTTTTCGTACTGTACATTCTATGCTTAGGGCACCTTTCAAAAGCAATTCCTTTGACAGAATATAGGGACTTGATTGTCTGAGCAAATGCCATGTTGCTTGATTCACTCCACATTTTTCAGTTGTGAATCCTATTCTCAAGCATTGCAGTTAAATAATTTCTTGAAAAGTAAATTAAATATTAGACAGTATCCATTCACACAAAACATCCAGTAACAAAGTATAGGTCGGAGAAGTTTTTTGGGGATTTGAACAAAATGGGGTATGAACAGCACACATAAGCTTTATTTAAAACCTGATCAAGTAAGAAATAAAAAAATGTCCAGGATATCCTTACTTTTGTTAACAATAAGATCTGAAGCTGGGTTTCAAACCTAGCTAATCTTCCGATCTATAAAGCTCTGAATACTTTCTTCTGAGCATATTAACAAACTATATGCAGAAACTACCATATATCCAGTCTTTTATATTGACTGTGTAAAGCTTTAAATTAGAAAATACATAGATTTTGTATGGTAGGATTACCTTCATACTTGCTACAAACTATTAATGCTCAGGTGTGCATTCAGGTGAACACAGAGCTAAAGTTTTTCCTTTGGTTTGTCGACTTGGATTAGGTATGGATCCATATATATTAACACTATACTGTATTGTTTTTCTAGGGACAAGTAAAGTCAAACCACATGTTTGTCTAAAACTTAGTATGGGGCCCCTCATTTGAACTTGGACCGTGAATGCAGAGGTGAGTCTAATCTTTGCCATCATACTATGGGTGCAATCAAACATTTCAATTTCAAGTGGTTTCTTTTTCAGAAAGTGAAAAGAGACATCAAGAGTTCCAAAACAGACATCCATCAGCACTCAATAATACAACTTAAAATCCCAAGCTGTATATTCAACTGAAAGCAATGAAGTACAGATCAACACAGAGATTGGTAGTCACAAGCACTTTGATTGAGAGGACCCTCATTTGTTTCTTTTAGTTATTATATTAAACAAATCATGTGGCTCAAAATGTCTCTATAAAGTATTCTTTTCTTTACCCAGAGGAAAAAAGCAATAAGCCTCATTGCTTATGCAGCTGGAGGAAAAGGTTTATCCCTGCTCCATACAGTGATCTCAAAGATTATATGGACACACTCGGACATATATACCGGCAGCTGAACTTGAAATACAACTCTTTGCTATATGAAAAGGAATGTTGATGAGAGTTTTCAAGCATTTTCATTTTGTGTGTATGGGTAAATATATAGGAGTGGGTATAAAGATGTGTTAAGGCTTCCCAAGAATTTACACCAGAGGTGGGTTTCAGCAGATTCTGACCGGTTCTGGGAAACCGGTAGCGGAAATTTTGAGTAGTTTGAAGAATGCCACCTATGGCCCTGGCCCCATCTAATCTCTGCCTCCCGAGTCCCAGTTGATCAGGACGGAATGGAGATTTTACAGTAACCTTTCCCTGGAGTTGGGAGGGAATGGGGATTTTACAGTATCCTTCCCATGCCATGTCCACCAAGCCACGCCCCACCAAGCCATGCCATGCCCACCAAGCCACACCCACAGAACTGGTAGTAAAAAAATTTGAAACCCACTACTGATTCACATATCTATTTTCCTTTCCTCTGCTCCCAAAGTGGATAGGAAATTTGTACCCTTATTTTTGACTTGTTCACTTTGGGTATGATTTCAAAAGTTCTGAGAGATCTTCATGGGCTAGATGTAAGTTATACAACCATAAGATAGAATAAATATTTATATATGTAGCAATGACAGCTATGATATACAGAGAAATGTATGCATCTGATCAGGGTGCTTTAATGCCCCTTATGGTGATTCAGTAGTAATCCATAAGCAAAGACTAAAAATATCCAACTCATTCTTCAAAAAGAGGTTTTGTTTGTTTTTATTGGGGGAAGAATGTACATTCACATGTTTGTATTTTATCTTCAGATTTCCTTGTATTAAGACAAATACATTGTATTCTTTAAGATTAATACACACATTCTTTCATTTATTGGGCCAACAGATGTTTCGGCAATTTGTTGATATGTAGTATCAACCTATTGAGAGAATGTGCGCGATAAATAACCAGATAACAAGTTTTAAGACTAGCGTCCAAAATTTAAGTCAGAATTTAAATTCTTAACCTAAGAAAGATTCCCCCTTTGTGTGCTATTCTGAATCATTATTGTTCATTAAATACATGCAATAAACACAATTACTAACTCTCCATAGTAATACTTTCTCAAGAAAATACCAATTTTTTTAATTTAAAAAAATATATACATAAGTTTTCCGCTGAGATTAGGCATCCTCATTTTGCCAGATATGCAGCCCTTTTTAAGTTCTCATTATTGTAATAAGGAGTAAGAGAATGGAATGGATGTGAAAGGGCTGAAGAAAGGAAGTTCCTCATGCTAGAGAAAACGGCTTTGTAAATAGTACAAAGAAAACAAGGGATAGAAGGCAAAAACTTTAAAACCCAGGAAACAAGCAGCCATTAACTTATAGTATAGCCTTTATTGTCATTTTATATCATATGTACAACGAACTTGAAAAGAAGACACCCAGGTTTTAAGTAGAAAGGGCCAAGTTGCAGATATTGTTACACAATATTGCTTCTTTATATGTGCCGCTTTCTAATTCTTTGCAATAAATCAACTCATCAAACCCTGTACTTGTTTGAGTAGATGGAACAGGGAATTTAATCACTATGTTAGATATGAAGTCCTAGCAATGTATTCCTGTCCCAATCCTTTAATCCTAGGTCATTTCATGCTGAAATCAAAGGATTGGCTGTTTCATTTAATCTGATTAGTTTCACTACTAAGTTTTGAGGCCAAATAGAATTAGAATAGAATTCTTTATTGGCCAAGTGTGATTGGACACACAAGCAATTTATCTTTGGTGCATATGCTCTCAGTGTACATAAAGAAAAATAAAATACATTCATCAAGAATCATAAGATACAACACTTAGTGATAGTCATAGGTTACTAATAAGCAATCAAATCGTACTAGGAAACAAATAAAACAAAATAAATTGTAAATATACAAGCAACATAGTTATAGTCATAAGTGGGAAGAGATAGGTACTAGAAAGGATGAGAAGACTAACAGTAATAAAGTCTTAGTAAACAATTTGACAGTGTTGTGGGAATTAGTTGTTTAGCGGAGTGATGGCATTTGAGAAAAAGCTGTCCTTGTGTCTAGTTGTTCTGGTGTGCAGTACCCTATAGCATCATTTTGAGGGTAGAAGCTGAAACAATTTATGTCCAGGATGTGAGGGGTCTGTAGATATTTTCACAGCCCTCTTTTTGACTTGTGCAGTGTACAGGTCCTCAATGGAAGGCAGGTTGGTAGCAATTGTTTTTTGTGCAGTTCTAATTATCCGTTGAAGTCTGTGTCTTGTTTGGTTGCAGAGCCAAACCAGACAGTTATGGAGGTACAGATGACAGACTCAATAATTCTTTGTAGAACTGAATCAGCAGCTTCTTGGGCAGTTTGAGCTTCCTGAGTTGGCGCAGAAAGAACATTCTTTGTTGTGCTTTTTTGATGATGTTTTTGATGTTAGGTGTCCATTTTAAGTCTTGAGATATGATAGAACTTAGAAACTTGAAGGTCTCTACTGTTGATATCGTATTGTCTATTATTGTAAGAGGTGGTAGTATAAGAGGGTTTCTCCTAAACCCTACCACCATTTCTATGGTTTTTCATTTTTTCATTTTCATTTTATTAGATTTCTATACCGCCCTACTCCCGAAGGATTCAGGGCGGTGCACAGCCAAACAATAAAAACACATACATACAAAATTTAAAAATAGAATAAAATCAGATTAAATAATTTTGGCCCCAACAAATTTAAAACCCCAAACTTTTAAAACCAATTTAAAATTGAATATATAAAATACTAAAAGATATTTAAAAATTTAAAAATCTTTTATAAAAGAGGGGGAAAATTAGGCCAGGCCGGCCTGGTGAAATAGTAAGGTCTTTAAGGCGCGGCGGAAGGTGCGCAGATCCGGGATCCTCCGTATCTCTGGGGGGAGCTCGTTCCAGATAGTAGATGCCCCCACAGAGAAAGCTCTCCCCCTGGGGGCCGCCAGTCGGCATTGTTTGGCTGACGGCACCCAGAGGAGCCCCTCTCTATGGGAGCGTACCAGCCGGTGGGAGGCTATTGGTGGTAGTAGGCGGTCCCGCAAGTACCCAGGTCCTAAGCCATGGAGCGCTTTAAAGGTGGTAACCAGAACCTTGAAGCGCACCCGGAAGACCACCGGGAGCCAGTGCAGCTTGCACAGGAGGGGTGTTACATGGGAACGCCATGTCGCTCCCATTACCACTCGCGCGGCCACACTCTGTGCCAGTTGGAGCCTCCGGGTGCTCCTCAAGGGGAGCCCCATGTAGAGAGCGTTGCAATAGTCCAGGCGGGAGATGACAAGGGCATGAGTGACTGTGTGTAACGAGTCCCGATCCAGAAAGGGACGCAACTGGTGAATCAGGCGAACCTGATGAAAAATCCTCCCGGTCACAGCTGTCAAGTGCTCTTCTAAAGACAGCCGTGAATCCAGGAGGATGCCTAAGTTGCGAGCCCTCTCCGTGGGGGCCAATGATTCGCCCCCAATAGTCAGTGATGGCGTCAACTGACTATATCGGGACGTCGGAAACCACAGCCACTCGGTCTTGGATGGGTTGAGCCTGAGCCTGTTCCTCCCCATCCAGATCCGTACGGCCTCCAGGCACCGGGACATCACTTCAAGGGCATCGTTGGGGTGATCCGGGGTTTTGAGTGTATTTAGTTCAAGATTATTCTGGTTGTACCACAAGGCTAGTTGTTCAACCTCCCATCTATATGCAAATTCATTGTTGTCCCAATGAGACCAATCACTGTTGTATCATCTGCAAACTTCAGTACTTTAACAGAGGGATCTTCTGAGATGTAGTAATTGGTGTATAGAGAGAAGAGAAGTGGAGAGAGCACACAGTCCTGGGGGGTTCCTGTGCTAATTATACAGGTATCTGATGTGATTTTGCCTAGCTTCACCTGCTGCTTCCTGTCTGTTAGGAAGCTTATGATCCATTTAGAAGTGTGGTCAGGTACAGCTAGCTGATTTAGTTTAGTTAGAAGAATATCTGGAATGATGGTATTGAATGCTGAGTTTAAGTCTACAAAGAGGACCCTTGCATACGTCTTTGGAGATTCAAGATGTTGTAGGATGTAGTGCAGAATCATATTAACAGTTACATTAAAATGTTTTTTTTAAAAAAAAACAACCAAAGATTTATGGATAAGAAAAGAAGAAAACAAGTTAATTCACTCACTTTAAATCTTTGAGACAACTTCTGGAATCTTAAAAATTGTATTGTTTGTTGGTTTAATTTTACCCTAAATCTAAGATTTCGAAATGTAGTGTCATTATATAATTGGTAGTTACAAACCACACATTCTTATCCCTGATGATGTGCAGAACTATTCATCTTAATTAATAGATTCACAGCTACTCCTTTACCTACCAAAACAAAAAGGGATGGAAAGTTGGATTAACAGTCAGCATAAACATCATTTAGCCATTCTGCAATGCTGCCCAGGCATAAAACTGCCAAGCAGGAAAGAGTAAAGAAATGGGGTGAATGCTGAATTTTAACTTTAAAGTAATAGTCAATTAAATTGCAGAGATATGTAAATCTCATAATCACTTAGGAATGGCTACCCTGGATGTTCATCCATGCAAAGATTAATCCA